TCAGATCGTCTGTGGGGCGAGCCAAAAAGGAGTGACATCTCACCTGACGTGAAGGGACACTCAGGATGGCAGGCTCGTTGAAGGGTAATTGCACGCAGACGTAACTCTGTGCTATACCGGCGACAACCGGGTGCACCCCAATGAAATTTTCCGGTACCCTGGTTTTCAAAAAAAAGAATTAGGCGAGGCGCAAATTTTTGCCGAAGTCCCTGCGAGATGGGTATGTGTTGATCAGGATCCTGGCAGTCTGTAGAAGAGTGTCAGGATACAATGGAGAAAAAGGCCTCTTAAGTATCCACGAGGTCACAGGGATGAGGCACCTTATCAAAGTCGCGCTATATTCGAGCGCCAGATCGGCAAGGTATATTTTCTTCAAGGACGGATTTGTATATTTTGCTTTATGGAAAGTGTAAAGCGATGTTATGCTGGGAAGCGGACGAACAAGACTGTCACGAGCGTTTACTAAATGCGCTATTTGCATTGAAGCTATTCGAAGCGTTTCATGGCGCTGGGCAGTTCTACAATTCAGTAATGGACTTTATAACACTTAAGAGGACTCACTTGCAAATGCAAGGGCTGAGACGCCAATGGAACGACTTCTGGAGTGATTTCACGATGTTCTAGTCGAGCAAGGCAGCAGACTGATGGATTAACTGCGCCAACGCATTACAACAACACCAAACGACATTTTTCAAACTAATAGAGATGTACTTTAATCTCTCTAATTAGTTCTCTGGGTCAATGATGCTCACCGTGCCAACGACCTGTCCGGTCCTCGCAGCGTGTCTCGAGAAATATCAGGCCCATCCTCAGGCATCTCTCACTGACAGATGACACAAATGTATCTGCCACATGAGCAAAAACAGTTATAGAGGGTCGCTAATGGGGCAAAATTGACCTTTTTCATGTTCATTAAGTACCCGGGACTGCGAGCACGGTCCAAGGGGAGGTTACGCGAATACTGGTGGACCGAAAGAGCGCAGCTAGACCCCTGATATCTGCAAAGTCACTTTTCTTGATAGCTAGCACGGGTTTTCGGCCCATAGATGAGAGTAGCTGATGATATTGACGAAGATGTACTCAACTCACAGGGAACTTGTCTCTGGAAAGAAACCAGGTTCCGAAACGACTTTTCCACTGTGTCCCGATGATCTCCACGCCCATTGTGGCCTAAATGCTCTTCTAGTAGACGACTAAAACATTCTGGTCTATGTGGAAGCACGCAGAAGGACTAGAAATATTATGTGTAGTGTATAACTGGTCGCGATTGATATGATCAGAGCATGATGGGTCATTGCCGGTCCGTTATATATATATGTTTCGGCATGTTCCACTGAAGTCGCCCGTGTATTCCCATATTACCTGAAACAAGTCCTGAAAAGCCCCGCTTGCTTTCTCGGTTTTTATTTTATTTTTTTAATATGTATATATATATATCTCGTCCGCCGAGAAGTCCACTGTCGCTGAGAACCATGGGTTAAACAGCGCCAGCCCACGAGGTGCGGCCCGCCAGGAATCCATTCGATCCACATTCCACCGGAACGAGGATCTGGAAAACAGCTTTACTTCCCTTGGATCTCATGTATACTACAAAGAAGCGCACTTTTCCGCAAACAAGGCATTCGCAATGCCCACGGACTGACAGTAGGCCAGTATCAGCCTGGTAAAGGCCAAAGGTCTATATCTCAGCAGACATTGGATGGAGATGCCGAATTACGAATAAAAAAATGTAGAGGTAGAAACCACCGATATGTAAGTAAGTATCCTTGGAATGCAATTCTCGCGTGTGAAAAAAAAAAAAGAAAGAAAGAACATGCTACGCGCCTAGAAAAGAGAGATAAATCTTAGACGTGGCAACTTGGCGATACAGGTTTTTATTGAGACAGAACTATTATTGTGTGGTGGTTTAGCAAACCATGGTATAGCAGTCAGTGTTACCGCTATCAATCCAGCGATTACTGGAGCAGACATAATACCATCAATGATCAAGTTACGCCTATCAAATGGTTACAATTTGATTTGAACAAAACGGATTGACATTGAAGAATATGTTGCTAGAATGCTTCCCATGAACCGAGTTTCTCCTGTGTTTTTTTTGCTCTATCATCTTGTATTTTCGCTCCCTTTCCGGATAGCACATAGTGGAGGCGCTCGACAAACCTCTTTTCATACAAGTCTGTCAGAGAGGCAGGAACTGAAGGCACTGAGCCGGATGGCCAGTTTCTGCCAAGGTGGGTATTAGAGGATTGCGGAAAGTCGTGTACGGTTGCTGAGCTCCCCCCAACCTCGCCACTAGCAAAAGTACTGTTCCACTTTCAAAGATGTCTACTTCATCGAGTGGTCGATACCAAACTGGTGTATAGGGCGAGTATTCAAAATCATTATTATGTGTTGGGAATTCGTCCCATCGAAGATCATACCAGCTCGGACATTTACCGCTCGTGAGAAGGGGACAAAATGCTGTGAATTCTATCGATTTACTTAGGACAGGGGAGACGAAAATGTACAGCTAACAATATGCGAACACTTTCCTTGCCGCCGCCGGAAAGAGGGAAGGGGGCAAGCTTCTGATCGTCAAATTGGTTGACTACGTTCATACCAATTTGTCTCTGTATGAACTATGCCATGTCCAGGTATACGCCGGTGCTAACAGTGGCGGACGAGCGCAAACCTGCATTTAGTGGGGTGACCCAACTACAATCATGGGCGCCAGCTACCAAAAGCCACCGAAAACGCTTGCAAGCAAAGACTACGTACATATGTGAAAGCTGAGCCATCCAGAAGAAGCTTGTACAAGCTGGACAGTTCTTATGACAAGAGAGATCATACAGATGAGCGCTGCAAGCTTCACGAGCTGACCTGCGAGAATGGAATGTGCGACATTATTAGGGTCGGCCCTTGAGATTTGTCATGTACGAAGAGGGATCTCACGGTCTGCTAAGTGCCCTAGATTGAAATCTAGACTTAGCGCTCTGTAATCACTCCCATTCGAGCTTCTTGATCTCCAACTATCAATGGAAATTATGCCTCTTCTCAAGCTCCATGGCTATTGGCTGGAGTCTCTGATGACATAGACTAATGCAGAACGAAGGAGCAAAGCACAGTGGGACCTTGCAGCAAGCTAAGTGCGATATATTTTCTCGAGAACCGCTCTTTCTAACTGGCAGAGGGAATAGTTGTGGACCTGGCATCCGTACTTCTAGATGACAGGATTCGATGAGACTGCATCTTCGTTCTCGGATAAAGAAAGGGGAAATCGTTCCGGGATATTCAAGCATAACGTAGGTATCGGACTGAATCATAATGAGGACTTATGCACTCCTAGAATCCCGCGGTGGCAATGTGCAAGTTTGACGACATGTGACCATAGACGGAATATGTCCTGTTCGGGCAGAGCCCAAGAGGGCAGACTCCGACCAACCTTCGAGCCAACATAACAAAGGCTGACATAACGAGCCATGATTCGGCTGTTTCAGTTGCTCGGAAAACTTGTGACAATGACAGAGATGTCAAAGTTCACTAACGCCGTCGATCCGAGTGTTGAACGAACGAGGACTAGCATCAGATCTGGCGATCTAATGAACTCAGGGCATCGTTCGATGGAAGTTCGCTGCCCTACTGGGATAATCTGGAAATTACATGGCGTCTCGATATTGAATTATTGAAGATGGTTTTTGACAGGATACCCAGACTCATATCGCGCCATGTTGGCGTCGCGGTATCTTCGGGTAATAAGTCTAAGCTAATGTATTACTCGGTACAGCTTTTATCGAATACGCAATAAAGTTTATGGCATTATGTTTACTACTACCACGATCCCTTCCTCTTCCGGAGAACCTTGCGGATAGAACAAGAAAAACATATCCAACCGAGCTGACCCACGAGGCTACATATCCACCATCAAGAAGCAATGTCCAGCTTGGCAGTATTTAGCGGAATTGATCCATCATGCTCTGCACGCGTACTAGTGCTCTGTACGGAGTAGTCCATAGTCAATATTTCCTAGTTCGTACTGCTGTCAATAAATGTACCGTGCCTCGTACTATGGAAAGGTAGTTAGCGGCGGCGGACATTGTCAAATGGCCTATGTTCCAACCGGTTTGCATAACTGCGATAACCTTAAACTGGATTCTTGTTCCCTCCCCCTTTTCTCATTCCGCTAGTTCCGCAGCCGAAGCATTATTATGGGTACTCTGTCTAGCAAGCACTTCGGACCCAGGAAATTCCCGTTTCTAGCATCCACACAGGCGGAGGTGGCGGAGACGGGAACCCACCGAGAGTGATTGCTATTTTTAACGTTCCGATTGGAGGCTTACATGCTCATCCAGAAGGGTGAGGCGGAGAGTCCGGATGAATAAACTGCTTGAGGTCGTTGTGATAGGAGTGAGCTCCGGGTAGTTCTCCGTACTCTGTATTCCGTCATCTATACTCCGTATGTCTTGGAAAATTCAATAGTGCGTCAACGTGCAATAAATTTAAAACCGCTAATGGGTGCCATTGGGCCGGCAGCCGCGCCCTAATTGGCTCCATATTAACCGGATCATGGCGTCCGCCGATCTAGTACTTCGCTAAGCAGTGTAAGTGGATAACCCCGATATACACTAGGCCCACTGGATTCTCCATCGGGATCCCGGTTTTCAAGCTCCGTTAATATTAACGGCTTACTATTATTATCTATTCCGGCTCGCCGACTACTAGTGGATTCTATGTTCAATCTCTCGACCTTCGTGATCTGCACTTCCATCCGACAACGAGATGCGAATGCGAGCACAGGAGGGGGGAAGACCGTGAGCTCTTCGAGTATATAAACCAGCCTCGAGGTGCTCTTCTCTCGATCTTCTTCACACCAGTCAGCCAGTCTTTCACTCCAGTCGTTCTTTCTTCAAACCCACCCTGCTTTTCGCAGTCATTCCTTCTTTATTCTAAGCTTCTAGCTAATCCAACTTTTTACGGTTTACTCCTTTTCTAATCTTTTATACCCTTCCAATCAATCTATCAAAATGAAGTTCGCTGGAATCGCTGCCATGGCCGCCGTCGTCACCGCCGTGACCGGTGCTGCTATCCCCAACGTCAACGCTGCCCTCGCCGAGGTTCACCAGGTGACTGGCGATGTCCAGGGTCTCCTTTCCGGCTCCGGCTCTGGGGCTGATGTTGCCAAGCTCGTTTCTCGTATGTACATCGTTGATCCCAAACTTCGATCGGGAGATGGAATGATAACTAACAAAGGCTGCAGAGCTCGAGAAGGTCGAGTCTGAGCTGAAGAAGCTCACCACCCAGAAGCGCGACCTTGTTGACGCTGATGTTGCTGCTAAGGCTAATGTCGCCAACGCCGTCAAGGCCGATGCTGATGTCGGTGCCCACGTCCTCGGGCGCTCTCTGATCGACGTCGGTGCCGACGTCGATGTTGACATCCTCAACAAGATCAAGGCCGCCCTCGGTGTCGACGCTAAGGTCCTCAAGCGCGGCCTCATCGATGCCGACGTCGCTGCCAAGGCTAACGTTGCCAACGCTGTCAAGGCTGATGCTGATGTTGGTGCCCACGTCCTCGGGCGCTCTCTGATCGACGTCGGTGCCGACGTCGATGTTGACATCCTCAACAAGATCAAGGCCGCCCTCGGTGTCGACGCTAAGGTCCTCAAGCGTGGCCTCGTCGATGCTGATGTTGCTGCCAAGGCTAACGTTGCCAATGCTGTCAAGGCTGATGCTGATGTTGGTGCCCACGTCCTCGGGCGCTCTCTGATCGACGTCGGTGCCGACGTCGATGTTGACATCCTCAACAAGATCAAGGCCGCCCTCGGTGTCGACGCTAAGGTCCTCAAGCGTGGCCTCGTCGACGCTGATGTTGCCGCCAAGGCTAACGTTGCCAATGCTGTCAAGGCTGACGCTAATGTTGGCGCCCACGCGCTCAAGCGCTCTATCATCGACCTCGGTGTTGACGTCGATGTTGACCTCCTCAACAAGATCAAGGCTGACCTTGGTCTCGATGCTAAGGTCCTCAAGCGCGGCCTCGTTAACCTCGACACTGGTGCCGAGGCCAACGTTTTCAACATCGTCAACACCGATGTTGACGCTGAAGCCAGCCTCCTCAAGCGTTCCCTCATCGATGTCGGTGCCGACGTCGATGTTGAGCTCCTCAACAAGATCAAGGCCGCCCTCGGTATCGACGCCAAGGTCCTCAAGCGTGGCCTCGTCGACGCTGATGTTGCCGCCAAGGCTAACGTTGCCAATGCTGTCAAGGCTGACGCTAATGTTGGCGCTCACGCGCTCAAGCGCTCTATCATCGACCTCGGTGTTGACGTTGACGCCGACCTCCTTGACCAGATCAAGGCTGCCATTGGTGTTGACGTTTCGGTCCTGTAAGCGAGACGACACTGTCAAATAGAGCAACACGCCTCCCGAAGTCTTTTGGCTTGGGATGCGCGCCGGTGTCAGTGTTGGGCGTCGATGATCTCTTGATGGTCGCTGTATATAAATGAACTCGCGAATAGAAGAGAAGGATATACCCCCCTGTAATGTTTTGTTTTTTGCATATAGCGATATTATACTCTAATACGATTTAATCACTTCGTCTTTTTCCCAGCTTCTATTTGTCTCCGTATTTGTATATCTTTACTATCTTTACAGAAATGACTCTTGAACGAGTAAGACTGTCTGGCCACCGTACATGCTTGAAGGGATACCGGCTGTCCGCTCATTCATAAAATCCCGAGTTCTATTTTCCGGTCCACGTGCACTTTAGTATATACGTTTGCATGCACTTGTCGGAGTGATAGTCCATGCCCGGACACATTTCCGGCTAGCAGTAATACCGTAATAGCAATAAGAATACATTCCGCGGATCAATTGGCATGGCGCTGACCTCTGTATAACATTGCACCCCGGCAGCCCCTACATATATATTCATCGTGTGATTCTACGTATAGCAGGTTATGCTGTACATTTGTATGCTTCCATAGTATAACTCTTAAAGTATCAGAAGGATTTGCATTTATATGGCGGATTGACTTGCTGACTCGATGGTAGCCATTGTGAGCTACGGAGTGCCGCGTTTATGCAGTTTTATGCATGCGTGCAATTAGAAAGTTAGTTATGCCAGGCTGTGCCGCTGTGCCAAGGAACATATGTATAAAGTACTTATGCACGCATTAGCTTATGCAAATCCATGCTTTCCCTTTCCTCCGATTCATCCTTCCTCCAATGGTCTTCACCGTCACTAAACCTCTCTTTTTATTGCACCAGGTCTATAATCCTTGACACTATGCTGGAATCTTATCTCTTTTCCTATTCCAACCAATTCGCCAGCTGCATATTACACCGATAGTCCTGTTCATCCATTGCAATATGCCTCCGCTAATGCAAGTGACGGTCTGTTGCTAGGTCCGACGCAGATGTATTGACCTGTTTACAGCAATAGAACGTTCCATGGGCTTGTCCTTTCGAGAAATCTTCGAAGAAAGTACCAACGTGGGATGCAACACAAAGATATGGGCGTTCTTCTGTGGATCGCTGATATTGAGCCCGCCTGCAAGACCTGATAGAACAGGCGCGGACCGAAAGAGACCAGCGGGAGATTGCCCCTACATTTGGAGGAGGGATAAGGACGAGAAGATAACCGAGGCCTCTATATTTGCAATGTCTCTCATGGTTGAAGCTGCTGTTGATCGCTTCACCATTATAGAGATCTCTAGGGAAAAGTTCATCGACAATGCCGATGTTGACGGCAGTGGGACGGAAAGTCAAGCAAGAAAAGGTAGAATGCGACAAAAAAGGACCAGAAGTGGTGTAGCGAGGGCCAACAGCAACGAGTGAGTTTCTGTTGACGTTGATCTCGTATTTGACCTTGTGCCGCAACCGTGAGAGCAACAACTGCGAGTCCAGAGACTCAGAAAGCTACAATGATGTAGCCCACATCTTCCCATTTGCGACACATGTACAGAAGAAAGTTGACGGTAAGCTGGAAGAAGTGAAGGTGCAGCTGTACACATTCTTTACCCTTTTTTTTTTCTTTCTTTCTTTTTTTTTTTTTTTTTTTTTTTTTTTTTTTTTTTTTTTTTTTTGAGAACAACTTCAACTCCTCAAATCACTCCTTGGTTATCCTATGAACCTTCCCGCCGTAGGTGTGCTTGTACATGGTGACTAGTGGTTCCGAACTTGTTATGCTTCTGGAAACTACCCCAGTACTTCTGGCTCGCAGGAAAGGTGGACACGGAGGACGCCGTGCCTGGGACCACGGGCATCTTCAAAGACAATAGAGAGGGTGCAGAATTCAAGTTCTCCGAGGATGAAATGGACGCTGTCTGGAGAATATTCGTCACAGGAATATCCGTTACTCGCCCGCCCCCAAAAACACGATCAACCCCTGGATCCCCTCTCCGCAGGCGACAAGAGAAAAGGCTGAGCAAGGTATCAAGCCCCCACGCTTTTCGTCGCAAGGCACTGGAGCTCGTGACAGGAAGACAGACCAGGTGCTCTGCATCCACGCACACATGCGCCTTGCGTCAAAGTTTGGTGCGCCACGGCATAAGCCATTGCCCTCTGGTCCATCATTGAAACTTCCAGCGTCTAAGGCCAGTGTTGACCGAGAGTTGAGGACCTATATCTTGTTATATCCCACCACAATTAATGGGTTACTTTCCATCCCTACTACGATTTCACATACCATATGGCTGCTTCCAATGACTCGAAGGAATACGAACCGAGCGGTGCGACATCATTGACGGAATGTTGACCACCTGTGTCTACTCAGATATGAGAAGCAAGAAAAGCACCAAACTTGATTGATAAAGTGCTCATTCCCGTAACGATCCATCTTTCAATGTAATTCTGTAAGCTTTGCTCAAAGACGTTGGGAATAACCAGGAAGCGCACTCCAAACCATACTGAAGCTTGAGCCTATTTATTTTACATGAACCACGTCCAAATATGAGGCTTCCAATAGTCGCATGCTGGTGTGCTGTCCTGGAAATGTGATCAAAAGAAATACACTGATAAAGGCTGGTAAACCTGCAGACGCAGCGCATATCTATCCTTATGCGCTAAGCAAAAGGACCCAAAAAAACCGAGCATGAACAATTCCTGGAGCATCTTCACCACCCAGAAGATTGAAATGGAAAACTGAAAGTCGAGCACAGAACAGAGCGCACTGTCAAACAGATCTGCCTTGCCCGCCAGTACCCACAAGTACCGGGGGAAAGCAACGGGGGAAAGCAACGTTTGTCCTTTAAAACATGTAAATCGGTTCGAGGATTTTAGCAATAATAAGGGCTAGGGGCAACAGAAACTCGGCAGTTTGCGCCCGAGTTAATGGCTTGTTACAACTCCGGGAGTTATGCAAGACACGCGATCAGAGAATGTTATGTTCTTCTTACAGAGAACATCGGCCTCACCAAGGAATCGGCGTTTATAACAGCACAATGCTCTAAGGCATAATAATGTCCAGCACTCCCTTCATACCAAGGATAAGCAACCCAGCCCGCGATATCCGACTATGGGACTGCAAGACAGGAATAAAATATATCAGGTCATTCTGTAAGAGTAGCGAAGGCAATAAGGGCACATATCGACGCTTTATTTGTTGCAAAAGTATATATGGTAGAAGTTTTTTATATAGAAGCATAGGGTTTTTCAACCTGGAGATCCAATGGACAGGGTATGAAATATCGTTTTCAGAAAAGCCTCTTGCAGTTATAGCTACGCGCTCAGTGTAAAGAAAAGTTTTAACCAGCCAAAAATCACGGATCGTCACTATAAGGCAGCTACTCATCGCTATGGTAGGTCTCTCCATCAAACCCCTCATACTCATGACTATCCCCATCTTTTCTCGCAGCAGACATAGCCACAATAATCTGCACATAGCACTGCAACTCCAGAATGTCTTAGTCTGGAAGCGGGCACAGAACAGGACCTTCTGTCTTCAGGATGATCAAGTCCCTTGATTGTATTCTTTCCCCCTCCTGAAGTTTCGTAATTCGATTCCTCTGTTGTTCCCAGACAAAAAATCACCAAGGCTCAGTACATGATCTGGTTACTGCAGAATATCTACTCTGTTGCGTTCCCGTGTTTTCCGATCAAGCCAGTAGAACAGCATATCTAGCCGAGTTCCATCCTGCGAGAGTTCAACCGGCTCCAGTGCCAACAGCCTCTGGCTTTAGTAATGCCACAGCGTGACGTCGCTCCTGCGAGGCATTGGATATATAGCGTTAGCCTTGCTTTTGCGTTGCCCATTTGAGCGGATTCTAAAATGTCAAACGCGGACAATGGCTTAGTCTGGGTCTCACAAAGGCAATGGGCGGATATCTTGGTCAGTTCCGGACGCTTCGAGCTCTCGCGCGGGAATCCTAGAGCTTAGATTACTCGTTAGTATTAATTAGTACCCTCATCACCGTAAAGGCCGCGCGAATGTATCCCGGCTCTGGTGTATAACTTCTTGACTAGAGCCTGGCGGCTTGGGAAGGCATTTGTGTGTGCAATCTTCGTAGCCATTCTTGCAGGTTGTGAAGATAAAAATTGTGGATGCTGGATTTTTAAGGTTGAGGATTTGGGGGTTGGATATTGATGTAGGCAGTTATACAACGTAAAGCATCATGTTTGCCACCGAATGACACTGGACGTAAGACTGACACATCGTTCATATTGGATAGATTCAGGGAGATAAGGCCTTACGCTATCTCTGGACATTAAGACGGAGCACTTGTCTGGCATATGCTTGCAATAGCGTGAGATTCCACGCGCCAAAGCAAAAAAAGGGACAATTAGAGGCACAATATCATCGATGATCGCACAATTTATCACGGAAATATGCTTGCTTGTTTCAACAATATTTACATCTTGGCAGTTTAGCTCCTTAATGCCCTTACGTACTCGTTGCATGTAACGCAACACCATGGGGCACTGACTCACTTGCTTCGGTTCTTCTTTTTGGGGCCTTTGCAGCCTTCGAATCGAGCGCTGCAGTCTCTCTAGTGACCCTATCATATTTCGCAACGAAAGGCGTGACAAGGTCACTGTACAATTCGAGATCTCGGTACATAAACGCACAAGTTTCAGCAATGCTCTCCGCTCCTGTATCGGATCACGACTGTCCGGATAGCCGAGATAAGCTACTTCCAGCATAACTGTGGATGTGCTGACGAGATACCAACCTCCATATGCAAGCTTTGCGGCTTGCGTCGAAGCAAGGGATACACTGTTTTATTACATACCGGAGGGTCTGAATGATGATATGTTACATGACGGTCAGCACGAGTCAATTAATAGATGTCACCGTGCGCATCGTGTATTCTGAGCAATATTAAATAGTGAGGTATCTCTCGGTATGCATACACCGCACACTTCTCCACACGTCTGCCCAACCTGCAAGCCATCAGGCAACTAAAATCAACATGAAGATCGCGGCCTTTATGATTTCCGTTCTCTTGAATATGGCGCTTGCGGTTAGTCCTGAGCCAGTAAGTGCTTTGTATACTACGCCCACGCTATGCGAAATACTAATCAAATAGCCTCGTCACGATGTCCTGGGTGGACCCGAAGATGGGCTAGTTGCTCTAGGACCTGGACCCGTCATCCCGGAGGAAAGCGAGGCATTTAGAGATTAGTTGTCCTGTAAAATAGAGCAGCCTAATCGGAACTCGGAATGGGAACAATAGCGGTAGGATAAATTCGGCGATCCTCAGCCCTATAAGGCGTGCCAAGAGCCCCACGACATCTTCATCATTACCCGTTTAGGAATGGCGTCATTCCTGAGGTGTTCTCTTTTTTCTTCTCTCCCTTTTCCTTCTCTCTTTCTCTCTTCTTCATTCCTCTCGCCGTACTGGACCACAGCCATGCCATAATGGCATCCGAATTATCCTCCCTCGAAGCCCCGCCCGTTATCCCCAAGTTTATCCGCGCCGAAAGCGATCTTACCTGGCACTCGTCACTCTCCTTCCCAACCCCGACCGACTATTTTTCCAGCCATGTCCCGCCTGACCACCACGTGTCCCTCGTCCGATCGCACAAAAAGAAATACATCAAGAAGAATAAACCCTACCGTCTCGTCCGCCAGCAACAAATCAAAAACAGCCTCCTCGCCGGTGTCGGATACCTCGAGCTTGCAAACGCGGGTGATTTCGCTGCCAACGTATGGAACCAGATCCCTGTTCCTAAACATGCAATGATACTTATGGCTATTGGGGGACCGATTGCGCTGAGCATGACGTTCTTCGCGGTGCGGGATTTCTACCTGAGTTACCAAAATGTGCGGTTACTACGGGCGGAGAGAGAGGATCTTCTTGCTCTGCGGGAGAGACTGTCGATGTCTCCGGAGGAGAAGGACGGGGAGCTTATACAGGTCCTGGATAGTCGTCTGGGCGTGGGGATAAGAGAACTGGGCACCGAGATGGTTGATCGGATAGTTATGGATGTGTTGATGGGGTTGGGCGCGTTGATGGTCGGGGTGGGTACAATCATGGCGATTTTCGGGGCCAATCCACGGGTATTCAAGGCGAGTAATTTGCTTTCGGGGTATGTGGGTAATTCGATGGCTGCGGTTTTTGGGTTATTCAATGCCATATGGTCGGGGGTTCTCGTATGGCGGTTTCAGCTGCATGACAGGGCGTGTCAGCGGTGCGATGACACGACCATTTACACGCTTACCCCGCAGCAAAAACAACGGCTGCGAACTCGCTTTCGTCGATTTCAGTGGCATGCCGTTACGAATGCTGTAAACGGCCTGGTCGCTGGCGCAGCGTCAATGGTTACTGCAACGCGGTGGTGGGGATACGTCGTCCTGATACCCTGCATCGTCTCCCTTATCCTCTGCAATTACTACTGGCGCTACAAGCTTGGATACGACAGACCTATAATATCCTCTTCGTCCTCGACTCTAAAAATCGACCACGTCATCACTGGCACTCTGCCTCCTTTGCTGGCCGATCTATCATATGTTTCCGCCGTCCACGACGCCCTCGCCCAGTCATCACCTACGGCCCTACCCAGGACCGTGGTAAACCTTGACTCCCTCGAGTCCCTAATCTGCTTTATCGCACAAAACCACATGTTCGAGTCATTCTGCGAATGGCTCCTGCAGGAAGATCAATCGGTCATCTCGATGCTGGTCGGAGACGCACCCTCAGTCGATCCACAGGGCCAGATCACCCTTTCGCCAAAGCACTTTGTACAAGGATACGGTGCGTCAAGCGAACCAGACGCTGAGCTTGCGGATCTGCTACTGGAACGGGCAAGGGGATTCCTAAAGGCTGTTGGGAGAAAGGTCTTCGCGTACCGTGAGCGGTATTTACTAGAGTTGCTTGGATATGCGGTTTGGCGGGAACAAACTGGGTCTCGTTCTTAGACTACGACGCTGTGCAGTCGATCTGGTATAGTACAGTTGGTAGATATGTGCAGCGCACAACGTTACACTAATATCATTGCATATATAGCATCTCCAAATCTAATCTATTCTATCACTCTACTACTCTAGTCATACACCAAACAATGTCTAGAAACTGAACAACCCACTCCTCCTCTTTCCATACGGATAAACAATCAATGCCGCCAAAAACAACCCAATCGTAATCCCAATCGCAACCTGAATCATCCCAAAGCCCAAATTCGTCACACTCGTATCTCCTGTACCTCCATTCCCTCCTCCCTTCTGCCCCACATTCGACTTGATCTCATCCGCAGAATGAACCCCCGAAATCAAACTCCCCGTCGCCGCAAGTCCACTCGGGACCAACACGAATATACCAGGGAGGATAGCCGTTGCTGCGTGGCCATGCCAGATCCGGGAGTAGAGGTTTCCGCATACGCCGACTGTGAAGGCGCCGACTGTGTTTGCGACTTGGGAGTTTGAGCCAAGGGTTTCGGTGCAGAAGTAGTTTGTTATGTAGCCTGCTAGCGCGATGACTAGCATGGGGGGTATTTGCTTAAATCGGCCTTGATTGATGATAACCAGCCAGACGACCATAATCGCGACAAAGGGAAAGCGCTGTACGTAGGGATTTTTAAAAGCACCTATCTTCGAACACTGGGTTTCGGATGTTGCGTTGTTGTCGATGAGGCCGTAGATTGTTGTTCCAACGGTAATACCATAGCCTAGGAAGAGGGAGTAGATGATTGCGTAGACCATGCGGATGGAGCCTGCGGCGATTTGGTGCGATTGAAGTTCGAGCGAACTGCAGAGAACGAGGAATCCCGGGAGGATTAGCGCGATGGAGGATTGAGAGATGGCGGAAAAACAGAAGAGGAACTCGGAGTTATGCCGTATGGACCCGAAGGCTCGCGCGAGAAACGAGGTAAGCACAGAGCCGGTGACCTCGAAGACGTTGGAGTACAGGACTGATCGGGGAGCGATAACATGTTGCATGATAGCGAGAAGACAGCCGTTGATAAAGATGATGGGCATATCTATTGGTCTTGCTTCGAAGGCGAAGGGGCCGACTGTGGCTGTTGCAAGACCGTAGACGAAGACGACAATGTATTTGTTGAAGCGGGGTCTCTTTTTCATGATTTCTTCTAGCTCTTGGATTGCTTCTTCGACGCCGATGATATCGTGGACGACATTTTTGTAGACAGCGTGTGTGTTGGCTAGTTGGCCTAGATCGATGCCCTGTGCTACGCGGACGAGTTTGACTTCTGTTGTCCGTGTGGACGGGTCATCGAAGGACATTATCATGCAGCCCGGTAGGTAGAGGTATTGACTGTCGACTTCGAGGACCTTTGCTGTCATCTGCATGTATTCTTCAAGACGGTGTGTTGGCGCGCCGAATTTCATGAGCGCTCTGCAGAGCTGCATGATGTATCTCTGGCGGGCGATGATCTCGGCGATATGGATTGTGACGCGGATCTCGTCTTCTAGTCTTTTGTGGTCTGGTTGTTTAGATTGGCGCTTTGACGCTGCGGATAGGGACTCGTTGCCTACTGGTGTGCTTGCTCCGCTCCGTGCCTGTGATCCTAAGGTTGTTGTGGAGACGTTTTGTTGTTTCTTGTACCATTTGGGCCTGTCTTTGCGGGGTGTTGTTGCGCCTGACGCTGCCGGGGTGGATGCTTCGCTTGACGACCGGCCTGCTGCACCCCCTTGGTCTTGTGGGTTGTTGAGCTTCATGAGTTGGGAGAGGACGCCGCCGCCGCCAGAGCGGTAGCGAAGACCAGACTCGATTCCTGATCCTGTATCTTGGATATCTGAACCTTGATGTGGATAGGGTTTACCACGGGCGTTACGTCGATGTGCGGATTGGTCCTGGTTGAGTTCTCGCACGAGCTTGTGCGCTTCGGTATTAGCAGTCGCATGCTGTTTTCGCTTCTCCTCATCAGTCTTGTGTTTGTTATCTGTGACCTCTGACACGGGGACATCACCCCCACCACCCCAGTCCGCATGGTAAACGCCTGGACTTAAATCATCACCGCTATGTTCCTCGCGTCCCAGCATAGCCAGGAACTGGACTGTTTTCCTCTTCATCACATCAATCGTGTTCTTCATCCGATCCTTGAAATTTTGTTCTGTTTCCTCGGCCTCGTCTTCAATTTCATGTTCTGCTTTCTTTCCCATGCTTTCCTTTTGCTGCGGCTCCTCTGCTTCTGTGGTGCGTTGGCTTAGCGGAATATCAGCAATATCCGTAGACCCATGCTCAAACGGCGTCGATGGCCGATGAGGCTGTTGATTCCTCTGCGTTTTTTCAGCTTCTGTCCTTTCATCTTCAGTCGACAGGCTTCTCGGCGGGTTCTGTTGAAATCCTGCACTTGATTTGAACCGTACGCGCTGACCGCGCGGTGATCTTGTCGGGTGTTGAGGACTCGGTGTTCGCTGCGCTGGTTTCGGACTGGGAGGGTGCTGCGATGATGGTCCTGGTTGTGCATCTTGCTCATTTTCTCGGCGGACCTCCTGCTTTGGCATCCCTTGTTCGCGGGGGATGTTGTCGTCGCCGCCGCGGGGGCTTCCTTCCGAGCTGGATTGGCTGCGGTAGGTTAGGAGGGAGTTTGTGCTGCCTTTGCGGTCGGACATCTCGTTTGGTAGTGCTTGGTGACAAATTTGTCCTACTCTACATAGGTAAGTAACATCACTAAGTGACGGATAGGATCTAGTTTGTCCAACCTACTAGTACCCGCGCCTTCCAATACAAAACAAGCACATGAACATCGCAATGCTCACCTCCCGCGAGGATCGTTGGTCTTTACAGAGTACACAAAATAGCTCAAAGGGAGCAGTGACGGCGATGCCTGATAGAAACAGATTGACGAATTCATCATTGCCCCAAATTGTGTGTAAAAGGCTAGCCACCATTACAAAAAGCTCGCCATTGTTTTTTATCATCACGATGCGTCGAGACCGCCCTAGGGGGACGTTTCGTTGATGTCAGCGGCGGATGTGGACCCGTGGATCTGCTAGCCTGGTATCTACCGGAGTAAAAAGAGACGCGGTTTTGATAAGATAGGAGTCGATGATGCTGGTAGTCTGTGATATTATGTTGTTAAAGGGGAAGTGAATTTTCTGAGTTTCCACTGTGGTTATTATCTCGAATGAGGGTGGGTTGGTTTCGCATGTGCTATAGTCTGGAGCTTAGTTGCTTGTTCTTGACACAGCAGAACTTGATAGCCGTTGGCACCGGACCCGCCGCCATGGTGCAAACGGCAGTTCCATGGATCGCGGTGGCATGCCGGTGGATATGAATCCGGTTGGCAGGTTAATCATCTTTAATGTCAGGTGAGTCTGTCTAGTTAATAGCAGTATGTGCTTCGTTGGGATGAAGTTGAAGACAAGGACAGAAGAGACAAGATACAGCCAGCAGTTGAGAAATTACATTAGACTTCAGTTATTTCTAGTTCGGTTTGAGTATATCTATTTTGTAGCTGCATTCCTGATGAGGTATTTCCTAATGCGGCCGCATTGTTCTATTCTTGATAACTTGTTTTCGGTAGCGTAGACAAAGCTTCCATTGTCCATGTCTAGAATGACTTATTCCACTGGACAAGCGGAAATAACCCTAGTGATTCTATGTCGTTGAACGAATCCATGATGTGGATGAAGTATGCATTCTCTTGCGCTCCGATCACCAACCAAGCAAGCTAACTTGCATTTAGAACCGAGAGGAGATGAAAGCCTTAGGTCGCCGAGCCAAGGTTTGCACTACTGATAATCGTGTTCAAGCATTCTTGATCTAAAAGGCTTCGCAGTGGCTCTGGTGTTATCACCGATATAGACACAGCTGAGTGAAACCCGTGGCTTTTTACGCGTTTCTAAGATTGTATCGTGTTTGCAGGGTCATTCCCATAGCATCCGGGCTGGTAATGGCCTGGGCTTGTCTAGCTCCGATGGCCGCTTTGTATGCCAATGTTGGTCATTTGTTCTTGGATACGACTGGAAGAATCCTGATCCATTATTATCAGGCCCGAAACCATAGAGTATTGAGGATATTTGGGTGCTTGATGATGATAGCTGATGATGTGGTTGTTAATGTGAGCCAAGGTAAAATGTGGAGTATGTGGTAAAGAACGGGGCTATATATAGACATGGCGAGACACATCAATATCAAGGACAATACAACCCAAAGTTGCGAAGACACATATTACTAGATAATGCTCTGGTGGATATACTCCTGATAGCAATTCGCATCTTTTTTCTTCCCCCCCATATTTTGCGGTGAAGGACGAATGGTTACACCTACTCACTTTACATGTATATAAACCCGACAGGCCATGCAAATAGCGCTGGCCACCGCAAACTGAGACCTACTAAGTATGATCACCAAATAAATCCGATTACCAGAGATTACGACCATTAAGCCCGCTTGGAACGATTGGTCCAGTCGGCATCACTTCTTCGGTCGTAGGCCTTATGAAACGGGCTCATGCATTAAGCGTGAATTCGAGAAACAGGCATGGGATGCAATAGGAGGAAGTTGCGTATCTGTATGCGTCCTTTTCGCGTTAGCTAGGCAAGTTTTGTTTCTTTTGCGGTGTTTTAAACACACAGGCCCAATCCTGTGGGGTTATGATCAATAAGTTTCGCCCGAATACGAATGCGAACAAGGTGAACGGAGGCAGCGTGTGCAGCGAAAGTCACCGCGATCATATTGTATTCTTATCACGGTCAATAATTCGTAACCCGCAGGGTTGTTAAGAAATGGTTGGTATAAAAATATGCCGAATGCTAATAGTCAGGATTAAATGATACTTGGGATTGATATCTGCACTATTGCATACAGTGCTAGAGAAGACATCAGCGTTTCCCCATCTCGAGGGGTAAATGATGCTAGTAGCAAGCCTAAACTATAGCTCAGTAGTCTATTCCATAATAAGAATGTTGGCAGTCGATACGACGATGCGTGTGGCGAACCGTATCCACCCATTATTGGGAATCATTAACTGCTCGCAGACAGTTGGAGAGGTCCCGCAGAAATAGCATATCAGTAAATCTACCTAAGCGAGACATGTTGGTTAGGAACAGGCAGGGAAACAGCGACGAAGTGATCTTCGATCCATGGTTCATCATCTCTCCGGCTCATCGCCATGAATCATGCTTCGGGACCGGCCGGATGCTGCTAGAAGCCGCCAATCAATAAAGCCCCAAGATCAATATGCATTCAACATACGTTCAAGTCGTGTACACCCCCTGGAGGCCTTGAGGAGTGCGCATCCCCAAACCCATCAGGGACCGAGCGTCCGATGATCTACGCCAAGGAAAGCTTGTCACCAAGACAATCCGATGCATAAGTATTCGGCCTTCAATCGACAAATAACAACACCCCCCTTTACAGTAATCACCACGGAAAAAATGAAACAGCCAAAACAGAAACAATTGCAGCCAATCCCGTGGGGGCTCTGCACTCAAATCCCATTCAAAGCGGGAGAAATTGGGATGGGCCGAGCATCCCACCACACACGGCACATACCGTGCCAGGGGTATATAAACCCCGACAAATGTCAAGCCAAGAGGAAATGTGCTCAATCCTTCTCATGCCGAGAACACCAAGCTTTCTAGAATAGTGCTTGGTTTTTTCTAGTCGTTTTTCTTCTTTTTTTTTTTTTTTTTGGTTACTATATAATGGCCCTTCTTCTCACTTCTTTCCTGGCCGGGCTGGCCGCGGCTATTCCCCACCCATCATCGTCCGCAGTCACAGTACCTTCTACAACTCCGGTACCGGTATCACACTGCACAGCCCGTCCAGATGCCCAGTTACCCTCGCAGACTCCTGTCGATTTCCATTTCAGCGGTAATGTTCGAACATACTACATCGCCGCTGAAGAAACGGAATGGGACTATGCGCCATCCGGCTGGGACAACTGGCTCGGCGTGCCCATTAAGGCCTCCATCCGCGCCAAAATAGCCGACTACCTGAGCACACCCCTCATCACCAAATGGAAGAAAGCCGTCTACCGCGGCTACACCGATGCCTCCTTCTCGGAGAAGACTGTCCAGCCGCCGTGGCAGGGTATCCAAGGTCCCACGATCCGCGCAGAAGTCGGTGACATGGTTGAAATCTTGTTCCTGAACAACCTCGCTACGCACTATGCTTCTATGCACTCGATGGGTCTCGCATACTCAAAGGAAAGCGAAGGCTCGACCTACGAATTCACAAACGAAACCTACACCGGCGATGCCGTCCCACCCGGCGCTTGCGTCCTGTACAAATGGGTCGTCCCCGAAAGCGCCGCTCCCAACGACAACGAACCCGCCACCATGCACGCATACCATAGCTACGTCAGCATGCAAGAGGATATGAATGCCGGCCTTATCGGTCCGCAGATGACATACCAGCGCGGCAAGATGAACGAGACGAGAAGACGGTACCGGGAATTCCCTATCCTCTTGGAGGGAACTGATGAGTCGGTATCGTTTTTTGCTGCGGAGAATGCGAAGCGGGCCGGGCAGAACGTTACTGTGGATTATGAGAAGCATTTCTCGGAGTTGATGCAGTATGGGAATGTGTCTACTTGGAAGCCGCAGATGACAAATTTGTTGTCGTCGACGCAGTATGATGATGCGCCGACGTTCTATTCGCTTAATGGGATGATTTTGAACAATTTGCCAACGTTTGAGATGTGCTTGAATGACGAGGTCATTTGGTATGTTTATGGTAAGTCGACCGTCCACATTGATTGAACGAGATTGGACTCTAACAACATCAAGGTCAAGGAGAAGACCCCCACAGCTTCCACATGCACGGAAACGGCTTTGTCTACAACGGCAACAGGATGAGCACGATCAGTATGTCCCCCTTTCTCCATCATTTCGTTTAGATACTAACAATGTTAGGCGCAATCCCTGGCACCATGTCCACGCTGTACATGAACGCCACTGCCCCCGGAACGTGGCAGGTCATCTGCCATAGCAATGAACACCAGTCCAAGGGCATGGTCGCTTACTATTCCATCAAAGATAGCGAGTGCTCTCCCTTTACTCTGTAGATATGGGCATAGTGGTGCTTGGTGTTGATAATTCTGTACAGTAGTTAATGGGGAAAGGTGTATATTGTGTATCATCACCAAATAGACATATAGTACATGCAAATTATATTCGTAACGTACTTGTCTACTAGACCGTTTAAGGTAATGCGCCTATCAAAGTCGTATTTAGAAGGATTCAGATCCCTGCCAGTGTTCCTGGTCCCAATACGAAGGTGAATGTCTCCGAGCATAGCTCCGAGCCTCGTCTTTCAACACTGCTCTTGTCTTCACCTACTCCCACTCTAGTTACTTCTAATTCCGCAATCCATCTCAATAGAATCCAACATACAGTACAGGGTACTTCATCAAACAAAACCACCACAATGCCGCTCGGAACAATCTACACATACCCCAACAACACCCGTATCACCAAAGTACCTCTCCCCTCTCTTCCCCCAAATACTCCGATGAGCAAGTACTAATAATGAAACTCAGATCCTCGCAGCTGCCAATCTCAACAACCTAACCCTCATCTTTGCCCCATTCGAACTAGGGAAAACCAACCACACGCCAGAGTTCCTGTTGGCCTTCCCCCTCGGCAAAATACCCGCGTTCACATCCGCCAGTGGCAGTGTAAATATCGTCGAGTCAGATGCTATCGCGCAGTTCGTCGCTGAGAACGGTCCTGCCGTAGAGCAGCTACTAGGCCGGACTACTGTTCAGCGCGCGCAGATACGGTTCCGCTAGTACTCTGGCGGATTGGGCGGGCTGTGTTTGATTTTCAGAAGGAAGAGGCTGCGCTGAATGGCCTAGAGAGAGCATTAGGCTGCTTGGAGACGTGTTTGGAAGGGAAGACGTGGTTGGGTGATGGGGAGGGGGTGAGTCTGGGGGATCTTAGTATTGCTTCGGCGTTGGTTCCAGGGTTTATATTGGTTATTGGTGAGGAGATTAGGGGCAGGTTTCCAGGTGTTATGGGGTGGTATGAGAGGGTTATTGGGGTGGAGGGTGTTAGGGAGGCGTTTGGAGAGAAGATTTTTATTGAGAAGAGGCAAAAGTCCCCCAGTATAAGGTAATGGATCTAGTCATAGTTCCTACAGTACAGCTTCTGAGGCACATTTTTTTAATAAGCAGACCGAACCTGTTGAATCAATTCTCATAGGCCTTGAAAATCAATAGCTCTTATCCACGACTAAAAATCATCCCGTCATTATTCGTCCAGCTTCTCATTCTGGCTCTCCTGGTGTCGTCTCACAATCTTCCACTGTAACCCTTAATCCCTCCTCGAGACCAATCAGTGGATCCAAGTTTCCTATTTGCTTTGTTGATGCAGAAATATCTCGAATTCACTTATCCTGAACCACCTCTTCCAATACCCAGCTCGCCACTATCACGGCTAATCCAAAGCCCATCCTCCCTATTACCTGGATACGTCGTCTTAACCGACCCCTCTGCACCATTCGTCAACCCATCAACACGAAGCACCGTCCATTGTACCCCATGCCCCATCATCAACAGATAGTAACGAAAAACACTTTCCAATACCAGTCACCTCCTGATATGCCCCGGGACAGAAGGTTCTAACGGTCCAGATTCCTAGTTCTTATTTGAATGTGTCGGTATCCGAGGCACAGCGGTAAGAAGGGGTATATAGAACAAGAATGCGGGTTATTTTATGGCGAAGGAGGCTTGGGATTAGGATTTTGCATCCGTTTGTTAAAGGCTGTGGTGCGACGTGTTAGCGTTGGACTCAGGTTCAATGGATCCCACTTGCATGGCTTTACAGTCCCTGTCGATCATGGCGACGGCCCTGCGAATGAGATGAAAGCATCTGCGCCGCACCGCGAACCTTGGTCTATAGCTACTTCGTTGTCAAGTGTGCCCTCGATGACATCGACGTTTTCATTGTGCAGGATTGTGTCCGGAAGTTTGCTTGGACTGCGGACTAGCAGTGTAAGTCGATGACTCTGAGCAAGCGCGATGCCGCAGAATTTGCTCACAATCGAACCTATCGCAGTTAGTAAGAGGTTCATTGTATAGATCGTGAAGATGCTAGTGGTGAAATACCGGAAGCTCCAAGAATGGAAAGATGCGTTTTAGTACTGGCCCTATTTATCCTTAACAATTAATTTCATCCAGGAAAATTATGAGCAGTGTAGGTCCTTATTCCTTTTTTTTATACATTTTCTTTGCTCGTGTGTTTTAACCCTGAGTTGTAGTCATACTGCAGCAGCCGGACCATATGGCCCGTGCGAATACGCTTTTGAAATAGGCAAGTAATATGCACCAAATGTACGCTAAGCTATATTGGGGGTTCTGGTTCCTGAATAGACTTTCAATTGGGCGCCATTAAGTTTAGGTCTGCTTGTCAATGTAGAAAGATTGCGAAGCTTCTCAAAAAGTCGTCCCCAGGTTCCTAGGGTTTGTCGATTTCGGAGCTATGAAGCTGTATCTGTTCTCCCGGGCTCATTGGCCATAGCCAACCATTCAAAATATACGATACTTGCATTTATAATAAAAATGTATTGGCATCGATCAAGGTACCGATCGAGGAAACCATATCAATGAAGAAAGCAAGCATGTATATCCTTTTTACCGCAACGGAAATGCACGTCCAGTAATACATGACATGACACTCCGAAGGAGATATGCAACTCAAGTCTATCAGACTTATACTTCATGATTTACTAGAAGTAGTCTAGACCGCCGCATCGAATTGGTTTTCCATGCTCGTCGATCGTCCATTGTGCCGCCCTGCGGGAAACGGTGCTGCAGCTACTATTCCTTCCATATGAACAGGGTTATTATAAATATTGGCTGGAAAGTTGGCAGGGAATATGGCACAAATACAAAACATGGGCTGATTGAGACACTACGGCGTTATTGTGTATACATCTGGTTACCATACAAATTGAGATGCATCGTGGTACGTTAAACATATGTAGCCCCTGCCTCGATGTTCCGCATCATATCTAGCATTATTGACAACTTTCTTTTGCGCAGAAATCTCTTCTAGTAGAGCGGGTTGTTCCAATTTAAAAAGTGACCTTCCTGCTTCAGATTCATACCGAGTAGACTAGGTTAGGAGTAGGCACCGACTTGACAGCACTGCAAAGAATAAAGAGCGGCTGTTTACAGCTTCCGATGCCTTTTAATCAGCATAACTTCCGAGCCCTCCGAAGCAACGACAGAAACAAGATGTATTTCGCCGATACATGGAACAACCCCCGGTACCGCAGCCAATCAACCCCGGCAACCACCACCAAATCCAGACCATTAGATCATGAATCAGAAACTGCAAGACTCCCTACAAGGAAAGTAACCTGTTGAACATCGCGACGACATCGGAGGGCTGTGCTCCAATTGGCACACTATGGTGGACTGTATGATATCACATGACGTCAGTGCCATCCACCTCCACACGTGATATCAGAGTGCTGTTTTCCCTGGTTCTTTTTTTTTTTTTGCGGAATCCAGGGCGCTGGTTTATATACTTGATGTGCGATATTCTGTTTCAGTCTTCTTAACAATTACTTTCAGTAGTTGCAAATTGACAATATGACAGGCTATCGGTTCCCAGTTGATCTCTCGCAATTCAAGAACCTCAAACTCGATCCGAAGAGCTCGAAGCTCTCGGCTGAGCAGAAGAAGGATCTTCAGCATAACATTGATGTCTTCCGTGATGCTATTGTAGCATTTACGGCGACCGGGTCTGCGCGTGGTCTTGCGGGACATACCGGTGGTCCCTTTGACACAGCTCCCGAAGTTTGCATTTTGTTGGCATTTATCAATGCAAACCCCGGTGGATACATTGACGCGCTGTTCGATGAAGCCGGCCACCGTGTCGCCACACAATACCTCCTCGCAGCACTAGACGGCAAGATCGACCCGAACCACCTCCTGAACTACCGTGATGCGGACTCTAAGCTCCCCGGACACCCCGAACTGGGCCTCACACCAGGCGTGAAATTTAGTTCCGGACGCCTCGGACACATGTGGGGGATGGTGAACGGTATTGCCATGGCGAACAAGGACAAGAATGTGATTCTGTTAGGCTCGGACGGTTCTCAGCAGGAAGGTAACGACGCCGAGGCTGCTCGTATCGCTGTCGCCAACGACCTTAATGTCAAGCTATTCATTGACAACAACGATGTTACCATTGCCGGACATCCCTCGCAGTACCTCAAGGGCTACGAAATCGGTCGCACACTGGAAGGACATGGACTCAAGGTCCTCCGCGCCGAAGGCGAGAACCTCGAGTCGTTGTACGCTGGTGTCTCCGAGGTTATCAACAACAACGGCCCTGCGGCCCTCATCGTCGACAGGAAGATGGCTGCTGGTATCGAGGGTATTGAGGGCAAGACCAACGCCCACGACGTCATCCCCGTCGACATCGCCCGTAAATACCTCACCAACCGCGGCTACAAGTCCGAAGACCTGGAATTCTACGACATGATCAAGGCTTCTTCGAACACCCACCAATACCTGGGTTCGACAAAAGACAAGGGTGCGAATCGTGTTATCTTCGGTGAGGCAGTAAACTCCGTCCTCGACGGCCTCAGTAAAGAAGAAGCCGCCCGCAGAGTCATGGTCATCGACTCGGACCTCGAAGGCTCAACAGGGCTTAAGGGCATTCATGGCGCACACCCCGAAGTCTTCGTCCCATCAGGTGTAATGGAACGCGGTAATTTCTCTGCCGCTGCAGGATTCGGATTTGGTTCCGACGGTACCCGGCAGGGCGTTTTCTCAACTTTCTCTGCATTCCTGGAGATGTGCGTTTCTGAAATCACCATGGCGCGGCTGAACGGGTGCTCTGTGCTCTCTCACTTCTCGCACTCTGGTGTCGACGAAATCGCAGATAACACGTGCCATTTCGGCCTGAACCATTTCTTCGCTGATAACGGGCTTATGGATGCTGAGAGCACGGCTCTGTACTTCCCCGCTGATGGGGAGCAGATGAAGGCTGTTGTCCAGAAGGTGTTCTTCAGCAAGGGTCTTCGCTTTATCTTTTCCACTCGCTCTAAGGTTCCTTACATCCTGAAAGAAGGCACAGAGGAGAAGCTCTTCGGCGATGGCTACGAGTTCACACCGGGCAAAGAAGAATTCATCCGTCACGGCTCGGCAGGATACGTCGTCTCGTACGGTGACATGCTATACCGCTCGTTGGACGCCGTCGAGCGTCTCCGCGCCGAAGGCCTCGACGTCGGTCTCGTGAACAAACCGACACTTAACATCGTCGATGAAGATGCTATCAAGGTCTACGGTTCAAGCCCCTTCCTCGTCGTCGTTGAATCAATTGCTCAGAAGACCGGTCTTGGTTCGAGACTTGGTACGCATCTTCTGGAGCGCAAGTTCACGCCCAAGTATCGGGCTGTGGGTGCTGTTAAGGAAGGCTCTGGTGGCCTGTACCAGCAGGTTAATGCGCAGGGTCTGGGGCCGGACGATATTGTGAAGTTGATTAAGGATACTGCGGGTAAATAAGCTTTGATTTTTTTTTTTTTGTTTGATGTGCTTGGCGAGTATTGGTGTTTGTTGCTTTCTGTATAGGTACTTTTTCCGGAAAGATATGTTGAATTTCCTTGTCGATAACGTGACGCAACGACTAAAATATTGAATGATATACCATGATTATATTTACATCTCTTCTCTGTCTACATACTCCGTGGTCCCCTTAATCCCGATCCGCCAAAGACATCAACCTACCCCGTTCTTGATCTCCATCCACATCCTCCCCAAAGTCAAACGTAATCTCCCCAACCAACCTCCTCACATTACTACACCAGTTAGCACCCATGCCCAAAAGTGATTGTAAGACTTCTAAAACTCACCTCAAAAGTTCCTGTAAACTAACCCCCACAATACTCCTCAGCACCTCGAGCGCCACAAACGCCGAAAACCCTGCATCCTCAATATACCGAATACTCAACAACTCACCATCAATTTTCTTTATTTCCCTAGCAAGTGGAAAGGAAACACCCGCTGCGAGGAAGGGAGGTAAAGGCTGCGCGTTTGTTAGAGAGGCGGAGAGGTGGCACAGCAGGGAAGTTGGGGCGTGCGAGTTGAATGTTGGTGAGGTTTGGGCTATATGGGCGAGGTGTGTGGACCAGGGTGTTTCGTTTCGTTGGTGTTGTTGGTTTTGGTGTTTGGGGTGTTGGATGGACAGTTTCTGTGTTGTATGCGCCATGAGTGCCATAGCTGTTAGCATGCGCTGTGTCTCCGATATTAGAGCGTCGTAGGTTTGTTTGGGGAATTTGCCCCCAATGGGCGGTTCGAAGGCTGTGAAGTGGCTATGCGCATGGAGGGCATTGAGTAAGGCCATTTCCTCCTTAAACAGTGTCTGTCTGTGCTTTGCCAGTTTCTCATGAGATCTATTCCCTTCCTGTATCGCAATGGTGCTATTTTCAGCAGTACCAGTGGTGTCAACCTCACCCAACCAAACTTCAACAGTAGCATGCATGGCACTATAAAACTCTGCCAGCACAAATAATCCCCTACCAAGCATCTTCCTCAACCTCGACTTCGCCGTAATCGGATACGGAAAGACAACCCAGAAGAAGGAGATCCCGCAACCAATAGCCACAGTCGCAAGTTTATACGGACCGAAGAGGTAAATAGGGTAGTAGGGTTGGCCGTTTGAGGTGGCTGTTTCAAGGCCCAGTTTGCGAACTTGAAGCTCGTAGCCGACGATTACGTTTAAGGTTACGATTGCTATCATGGCGGCGCCGAAGTATTGGGGGGTTTTGAGGTAGAAATAGTACTGTTCCATATTAGAGATCGTGAATGGGATATGGGGGGATGGGGCATACCTCAAAGACATTAGCAAGGTACAGAAAAACAATAACACCAGGCGTCCTTCCATCAACAATATACCACACAATCAAGCTCAGCGCAAGCGAGACAACTGTAGCAGCGATACGAGCCACGAACCCAAACATCGTCTGGCCACTTGTCGGACTCATTCCAATCACAATAACAATCATAGCCCATATGCCACGCTGGCGGATGAAGAATTCCTGCGTTTGATACAGATAGGCCACGATGCCCACGCAGAATGCAGCAGCTGCTACGCGGAAACCGAACATGCTTTTCTCGGATCGTATGAGGCGGGATATTTGGCGGAGGATGCTGCTTGCTTTTTCGAAAACGTTTGATGGGGGGAGAGTTTCGGAGTCTGGAAAGGGTTCTGGGGTGGGGTCTTGGTATGTTGATAAGTCGGATATGGTAGATTGTCGACGGGGTGGCTGTTTGGTGAAGCTTGATGTCATCCAGTTCCAAATCGAGCCCTGCTTTGGGAATATGAGTCTGCTTCGTTTCATTGTGCCGTCTGAAACCTTGATATCTGCAAATTTGATCAAGTCGAGAGTTGCATGTAGAAGGTCATGCTGTAGATGGTCCATGTATACAATGAGGAAGAACTCTTGCCTGACATCTGGGTCTGCGAGCATTTCTGAAGTAGATTTTGTTGAATTTCCGTCATGTTTTTCCGGCGACGAGAAGGCTTCTAGATATGCGAGCGCTTCTGGTAGCTCCTTGCGCTGCGCGTGATATCGATATAAAGCCTGTTCGAATTGGGATGTAAAGTCTTCCTGGAGCGGATCAAGAATGCCACCCTTAGACTCTTCATCATGAACACTTGAGTTATTGTTTCGTGCCTTGAGTTGCTTTTCCAGTTGTCTGCGTTTGACTAGATTGAGCGTGACAAGCACATATTGTAGCCCAGAGCGCATCAAGTCCGTGCAACTTCCAAGGCGCTCTTCAAGCGTTTCCACAACCTTCCTTATCTCCGAGCGTTTCACATTGTCTTCTTCTGAATCATCGACGCTTCCTATCGAGTTGCCTCGTGTCCTTTCGCCGTTGACGGTCATGTCCAAGATATCCGGAAGCATGGCCATTCCAGACAAAGGCAGCATAACACTCCGTAGTAGATCACCAATTTTGGTAAGGTCGCCTGCTGACAGCTTCCCCCATGCAAACTCATCTTTCGAATAAAAAAGATCAGACTGTAATTTGCCGTGTAAAGCATTTAGCTTTCCTATTGCAGCGCCAAGCTTCTGCCTTTTTGAGTCCAGGCTTGACTCGCCATTAGGTTCAGTGCCTCCGTTACCTGATATCCCGCTTTGCGCGGTTCGTGTCCGCTCCAAGAGACCCTGATCACCTGTCCACACACCTGATGTCGAACTTCGCTTGACAAAGGACAGCTGCGCCTGCAGTACGGCATCAATTTGAGAGACGTAGCCTCTGATATCCTGGGAGACATGTCCTCTGCTGGTAATTGGGAGGATAAATAGGGACACGCCAGTCGCAATGGCAAAACCAAGCATGAACCCTTTCAGTAGTCGAGTAATGAATGATAACCCTTCGTCGACTGTAATAAACGTTCCTCCTCGAGTTATCGTAACACATGAGAAAATGGAAAATGCAACCATCGGGTCCTGCAATTCCATAGGTTTCCATGCTCGCAGCGTATTGGCGCCCCTAGACAGATTAGCATAATCTCAGCATATAGTATAGGCGACGAACCAAATCATAAAAATAAGCCAAATTGCAGAAACGGCACAAGAATCACTATTATATCCATCCTTCACACCTTCAGACGCATCCACAGGTGTACTATTCTGCCTCGCCTTCACTGCGCAAAAAACAGCCAAACAGCACAACGACGCCGATACACAAGTAGCCAAGAGATTAAAAAGCATAATCTTCATAAACTTGGCTCGTGGTAACAGACCCTGCGATAGGACTGATATCAAGGCTGAGATGTAGCCAATTGTGAGGGTTATGTCTGCGATGGCGTCGCTTTGGTTGCTGTGGATTTGTTAGGGGTGGTCTTGTTAGGGTGGGTGGAGGCTTACATGGCGATTACAATTGCTGGTGGTAGGGCGCCTTTTAGCATTATTGAAAAGGACCGGATGTCTAGTTCAAGACGGGAGCATAGTGATGATGGGTGTAGTGTCCTGTTAAGGTGAGTTTTGATATTCGAGTAACTCGGTGACAACCCACCTAAGAAGCTTGGAGCTTCTGGACCTTTCATAGGGAACCATCGTCTTTCACTGTCAACTGGACCGGAGTGTGCGAACATAACATTACTTTTGTTAAAAAGATGTCTGCTTGTACTAGTACTTTCCTGTTAAGGCGAAGCATCGCCTCCGGTACGAGAAACCGGCTTGCCGTACCGTGGCGGAGCCGAGCCAAGTGCCGAACGCGGGTGCATCTCCCGCGATCAAACGTTGAAATAAGGTGTTCTAGAATATGGAAAACAGAACTAGAACAGATTGAGAGACTGTCTTGAAGAATACTCTTCCGCGGAAGTGGTGGTTGAAGAGCATTTGCACGCGAGATTCTTCAGCGTCCGACAGATCGGGTAATTTCTTTGCCGTCCCAATTCTAGAAAAAAACATCACTAACTACTCTGCGCAAGCAAATGAACTTCTTCCGGCGAGCATATACTTAGAGACTTTCAGTTATTTATTCTTCCCTCTCGATAGAGCGGGGCTATAAGAGCCTGGGTCACTCGTCCATATTAATCGGCATGCCGATTGGTCAAATAACTTGCAATTATGCATTGGTTTGCATCGGCTCCATCTAAACTGCAGAGAATTTACTTCTCTCTCTCCTTTTCTCTCTTTGCTCTGAATCTGCTAGAAACAACCGCAATCGAAGTGGCTTACCATGCATTTCGAAAGCTGGAAGGATTCAAATGTCAAAATTGTCAAAAATGTCAGAAACATTCCTGCGAGGCTCGTTCACAGGCCCTGAAAAATCAAGGGGGAAAAGACGAGTATACGCTCATGCGTCTCATTCAATTCGAAGGTGCCGATGTGGGTGATAAAGAATCCATTGTTGAGGCCACATCACTATTATATGCTGCGTCCCATGGTTATGAATGGGCTGTCAAGTTTTGAATAAACGCTAGCACCATCGACGCAGATGCGTCAGGTGATAGCTATCCTTCAAACACAGACTTGACTTGATCTGAGCCGCTAACAAATGTTATGACAATATTGTCAAGATCTTGATTGATTCTGGAAAGGTGAGTGTGAATAAGGGGGATTCTGCTGATGAGACGGCATTGATGGTTGCAAAGGAAAGGGATCATGACAAGATTGTCCAGTTGATGATGGGCCCTGGTCAAGTGAGTCCAGAAACAATGTAATAGTTGTTAGAGCACAGCTACGCTTCCCTGCATAGCGGGCCTATGCACATTTATTCAGAACATGGCTTGGTTGGACATTCTACCTTGACTACGTTCTGTATATTTCTCGCCTGTGGAATGATTGCTTGCTGTGGAACGCAATCATAATTTCTGTACTATTATGTACTCTTAACTATTCAAAAGAGGGTAGTATCCGACACCTGCAGCAATACTCGACTGCTGCCTTGTTCTGTGCTACACACCAGCATCCCCAGCCTTATGCAAAGCCGATCAACCCTGAGCCCTGGCACCGATGTCATTATGCTTCATTTGCATGCCTGGGTAGCACAATGAGGGCAGGATCCAGGCAGCAATGAGGCTTCAGTCACAGAAGAGCATGGAAGACATCATGGCTATCTTGTGCACTCTTGTATGAAATAACGTGATTCACATGACATAATGTGGCTCAGCATCGTGAATTAGGAAAGGCTTGTGGCGGTGCAGCCAGACAAGCCACGCTATTTTGGGCCGACAAGTGGAGTCATGATCGACGGAATTATTCTGGATAGTGGTTCAATCTCGGCTGGTGTCCATCTTCAAACCGTGTACAAGTACAGGGTACAAGGACTGTTTGTATATTGCTGCCTACAAACAACCGCTATGTGGTATGTACTGTAAGGGATGTGTGTACCTCTTCTGTATTCAGCCTGTAATATTATGAATGTTAAAAGAATGATGCCATCAAACCGGAAATCCGGAAGATCCTCAGGCCGCGATGGGTCTGTAATCTACCAATAATGAAGCATAGATCCCGTGAGGCGACAGCGCCTAATGCCGTGACTGGCAGAAATGTGGCATTGGGCCAGACAGAATGCGTAGGGGATAATGCCCGAGTCTGCACAGTCGATCAGACTCGCTTGTACTCTGCTCCGTACTCTGTATCAATCAAGTCATGTTTACCTGTAGCACAATGCAATGTTCTATTAACAAGAAATTGTATACTCTGTATAGTGCTTGCGTGTTCCACTGTTTCTAGACCGTGGGTCCCGAGGCTTGGCACGCATCACTGTCCTGAGGCTGCCAAGGCCAAGCCGGGCTTAAGTAAGGCTTCATCCCCGTTGTCCTTATCTCTTTCTCTTTCCCTCCTCTCTTTCTGTCTTTTTCATTTTCTCCTTTCTTTCGATCTTTCCACTTTTTATCGCTCTACTTCAGTCTGCACCTAGGCAGTGCCTGTGACTACCCCCAGGACCCAGTCCATAATACATGCGTGAGTCCTAGTAGACATCCACCCCTTGTGCCTGTTTGCTATACTGACACTGCACGCTAGACCGGATTCACTCGTGGGCGAAAGCTCACGCGTTCGATGGCAGTCTACCCTCGCAAGAACCTAGCAAGGAAGCCGCTGAGGAACCCCCGGATATACAGCCTTCCGCCCCTTCTCAAGATGCCCAAGTGACTCCTCCCAAAGAGACCCCGGCCGCGGAGTCGGGGTCGAGTACGGAAAACAAAACCGAAGAACAAAAGCTTGGCTTATTGGTCCGCGCCAAACATGGCTCGATCCGTTTCTGCAAGCACACCAAGACAGCCCTCTTTCACAGCTGGGTCAATGTCCTCTTGGTCTTCGTACCAATTGGTATCGCCGTCGAGGCTGTCGGCTTGGACCCTGCCATCATCTTTGCCATGAACGCAGTGGCCATCATCCCTCTGGCTGGCTTGTTGAGTCACGCTACAGAGTGTGTTGCAATGCGCCTGGGAGACACCATCGGTGCACTCATCAACGTCACCTTTGGAAACGCAGTCGAGTTGATCATTTTCATTATTGCTCTGGTCAAGAATGAAATCCGCATCGTTCAGGCCTCACTGCTCGGCTCGATTCTGGCAAATCTACTCCTGATCATGGGAATGGCCTTTCTTCTGGGAGGTCTCCGTTTCCAAGAACAGATCTACAACAGCACCGTCACTCAAATGAGCGCCTGTCTCCTGAGTTTGAGTGTCATGAGTCTGCTCCTTCCGACCGCATTCCATGCCTCATGGTCCAACAGTGCAGTCGCCGATATATACACCCTCAAAGTCAGCCGCGGAACGAGTGTCGTCTTGTTGCTGGTGTACATTCTCTACATCATCTTCCAGCTCAAGTCCCATTCGTACCTTTACGCCAGTATCCCTCAACAGATTATTGATGAGGAATCTCACCCTGGTATCTTGGCGGAGTTGATGAATTCTTCCGACTCCTCCAGCAGCTCCTCTAGTGACTCTGACGATACCACAACATCCTGGACCACCGCCAAACGTATCAAGAAGGCTATGAAGCCCAGAAGACATCGCAAATCCAGTGTTAGTTCCAAGGGCACTGCCACACGGCGGTCGATTCGCCAAAAGTTGACCGAACTGCCTCGCCCTGCAACCGCTGACAGATCCAATTCGGCTCTGGGCTCCACGGATGATTCCGCTTCGTGTGCCGTCGAATTTGGCGACGACATGCGATACGACGCGGACGACGATGCCAGGCGGCTGGAGATGCCCCGTTCCCGAGACTTCGGACAACAGCCATCCAGCGTCAACGTGAAGCCCGCCAAGGAGGATCGGAAGGCCCGAAAGGAACAGAAGAGGCGACATAAATCAGAGGCCATAGCTGAGAAGCAAGACGCAGTTATTGACAGCGCCCCCATGCCAAATCGGCCTTCCCTACAGTCGCACCTGTCGGAACCCAATGTCGCTCGCGAAGATCTCAACCCCGTTGACGACATTCCGAAGAGAAAGTCGCCTTTTAGACCGGTTATGCCTTCATTGCTTTCCAATACTGTGTTTTCAAGCGGACAGCCACAACCTGCTGCCGCTCAACCTGGTCCTAATGCACACGGTCTCCGACGCGCCAATTCTCTTCCAGGTCGGATGAACCGCCCGCCCCCGGTTGGCAATGCTGTGCAGTACGCCCGTGGGGCTGCCCGCTTTCCTAACCCTAACAACGAAGACCCAGTCGCTGTCCAAGTTGCACCACCGACCGTGCAGCCTGAAATGTCCCGTACGGCAGCTGTTGTCATGTTGCTCATTTCCACTGCTCTTGTGGCGGTCTGCGCTGAGTTCCTGGTTGACGCTATTCCAATGATGGTCGAAAGCTCCAACGTCAGCGAGGCCTTTATTGGTTTGATCATTCTGCCCATTGTGGGTAACGCTGCAGAGCACGTTACCGCCGTCAGTGTGGCTACGAAGAACAAGATGGATCTGTCGATTGGTGTGTCTGTCGGAAGTAGTATCCAAATTGCTATTTTCGTCACTCCGTTGGTCGTTATCCTCGGCTGGTGTATGGACAAGGACATGTCTTTGTACTTTACGCTGTTCGAGACCATCTGTCTGTTCGTGACAGCCTTTGTTGTCAACTTCTTGGTTCTCGACGGTCGCAGTAACTATCTCGAGGGCGCACTTCTCATAGCGGCCTATGTGATCATTGCGGTCGCTACCTTCTTCTACCCGGATAGTGCACAGTCCAGCGATTTTGCGGGTCCTGGTCAGTAAATTCGGATGAGGATGGAATATTTGTATGGTAGATTTCTCTATGGTTATCTAGATTGAGATTGTTGTTTTCTTCATTTTTTTTTTTTTTTATTCTTTCGGGTATCTTTTCTTTTGCCTGTCCTTTTTCATGAAGGTATTTGATACTCTTGCTGCTAGTGCAGCCTTTTCATGAGCTTTGATTTTCTGTATGTTTCGACTTTCATTAATCCGTTGCCTTCGATCACATACCACGATCACTTCCATGTAGCCGTTCAGTTTGGTTACAGTTGCATCGAGCAACATATATATCGGTGACCGGCCCATTATCTCGACCAAGGATAGTTATTTAATCATGTCTAAGTTGCATTCAAGCTATAGATAAACTAATGGGGACCACCAGCTCTCTCGGAATACTCCCAACAATATGCTTTGTACAGGTACGAAGTACTCGGGGCAGGAACCCCGAGATGCAATCCTCAGGTATCCACAAGGCCAGCCTTACAGCCAGCCGCAGTCACAGCACAGCCACGTAGTACTACATTCGACTTCGACCCCTCTGCAATTATCCAATACGTACTTGATCTGGTGTAATGCATTGAACAGATGCAGCCAAGCGCATAAATTGCTCGTATGGACTACGGATACCGAATACAGGTTCCGTATACAGAGTAGAGGACACCTCACTGTATACCATACACCCCGCAATTTCCGACCTGACCCGTCAGACACATTCCCACAGATGAATCTCAGGTTCCATGCCCAGGAATGAACTGACTAACTATCGTTTCGAACATCACTAGTCGATAGTTAGCCACACCGCCACACCGCCACACCCGAATGCACGAAAACAGTCTCCGTCCGATACACCTACAAAACAGACAAGACAAGAAACGAACAACTCACGCGGGCATCCACGCAGACAAATCATACCCGATATCCCCTCCAATCCATAGCCGAGGTCTTTCTATTGCATTCGGCATGCTTCTTCCGGGGGTCACGGCCGCGGTGTTGGCGGTTGGACCACTTTAGTTGGGCCCTTGTATGTATGGCTTGATGCCTGCCATGCCACATAAGGCGCAGCTAAGTGGCTTGTGGATAGTAGTTGAATCTGAAACAGTCTGACGGCGTTTATTCCGGGCGTTACGCCCTGGATATCATTATGGACTGGACTGGTTGGTACGGATAAAGGGGGAATGAAATGCATCTGCCTAATTAATATTGATATTGATGTTTACTCCGTAGTGGGGAAGTGTGTTAACTATGTATGGTGTACGGGTACGGAGCACAGATGGGTATACATACAGTGTACACATGGACATACATGGCATAGTACACATGCAGTTGCCCCTCCATCCGTGAAGCCATATATATAGCCCTTCCCCCCTCCCTCTCTTCTTCCACTCCTACTACAAAGTACAACCAAGCATATCACGACAATGTCCTACTACGAACAACCCCCCTACTACGGCGGCACACCGCAGTACGAACGCCCTCCCTACGACAGACCCCCCTCAGGGTCCCCCTACGACCGTCCCCGCTACGAGGGCCCTCCTTACGGTGGCCCCCCTCCCTCCGACAGACCCCCCTACGGCGGCCCTCCATCAGGCTCTCCCTACGGCGGTCCCCCTCCTTCCGACAGACCCCCATACGGCGGTGGCCCTCCATCAGGCTCTCCCTATGGCGGTCCCCCCTCCGGCTCCCCCTACGAACGACCCCCCTATGACCCCCCCCCCCCTTCGGACTCCCCCTACGACCGACCCCCCCAAGGTTCCCCCTACGCTGGGTCCAGCAATGGGAGCCCAGTATCCGCCG